GGAGGTAGCTCCAGAGATTCAAATGGACTTGCAAAGGTCTCTTGATAATTTGACCAATTGGTGTGAGGTCTGGGAATTAGCGTTAAATCTTGACAAATGCTCAGTGCTTCATCTTGGAGGTGGAAATACTACCTCGTATCACATCAAAGGCTCTATATTGAAGAGTTGTGATACTGTTAGAGATTTGGGTGTCGTGATTGATACAAATCTTAACTTCACTGAGCATATCAATACGTTAGTCAAAAAAGCTTATTCTTCACTCTTTCTGCTTTTCCGCAATACTAATGCTAGTTTTCCGAAGATACTTATACCGCTTTATAAAGCATTAGTTCTTCCTCATTTAGAATACTGTTCTCAGATCTGGTCCCCCTTTCGTAAAAAGGATATCCGCAGAATTGAAAAGGTTCAACAGCTTTTTACACGACTGTTGTATAGACGTGTATCGCCCGGAACCACCCCTCCCGATTACCAGACCCGGCTTGAGAGGTTTCATATGAAATTCTTAACAAACCGTCGTGCTTTCTTGGATCTTGTATTCTGTTTTCAAGTTCTGAGAAGAGAGAACAAGCTAAAAGCCAGTAAATACTGGATTTTTGTTCCTACAAGCGAAAGGTCAGGCTCTTTTAACTTGCAATATCCAAGAATCCGGCGCAAGAGATACTTGCTGATGTTCAACAACGTGTTCTACAGGTCGGCTAGGTGGCTTTCGCACCTCCCGGTTGAGACCACTAGTGCAGAGAGTAGTCATATTTTCAGGAGTAGACTGAGAAGGCTTGACTTGTCAAGTATCGCTAACACTGATTAGTGTTGCATGACAGGGCGAGCCTTCTGCATTAGACCTTTTGGGCTTCCATTGGGTGCTTTGGACGTGCTATGATGGCGGATGGAATCGCTTTGGGCTTTGTTTTCTATCACCTTTCTTCTCCATTTTACCTCTAAAACCTGTCTTTTCAGGTGCTCGGTGATCTTGCATTGACTTGCGGGTTCAGTTGTGGCTGTAAATTATTTCTTTGACGCCTCTCATGTATCTCCTCACGTTGCGTCAAACTTTTATTTTTGGTGTACTCGTTTTGTTCTAGTTACTAACACAGTTTCATCAGCATCTCAGTCCGAGTCTTTTTCGTTCAGCTATCTATTAGTCAATCGTACAGCTTGCTATTTCAACAAATGGATTCAATGAGAATCGTTTCACCTTTGGGGTCATTGGGCCTCCCCAGCATTCCGGCTAGGTTGGGTCATGGTTATTATACCTGAGCCAGTAGACCTGCCTTATAAACCGCCGGATTGCTTTTAAGAGTAACTAAAGATCGTTCCGCTGGCAACGAGGGGACATGCGTCCCATCTCCATGGATTCAAAGTTTTGGAGTTATAAATCTCATGCCTACATCTGCATACTTATCTATTAGCCTACCAACATATTCAACGCAAGCTGTTTTATCTTCTCACATTAGTATGATTAGGATCAGACTCGGACTGACATGAGGATGTCTGCATTTGCTTATATGTCTTGTTCGTTTCCACTGTATTACTAACTTCTTGATGTGTCTTTTTTTATGGAACGCCTTGAGCGTACAAATGAAATGAAATGAAATGAAAATTATCAAACTCTACGAAAAGAGGAGTTTGACCTTTACTTCTTCGAATCCCTCAGGCTATGGCTAAGTATGCAAAAACTCAATACTGGCTTACAACGAAAATCAAGGATTACCTTGGGATCTTTTTCGTAAAAGTGCTGTTGTGTGCGAATCCATCTGCTCACTAGATGATCCCTAACAGTGTTTGCGAGGGCCATGTAATAATCCCGAGGTGTTGCAACATTACGATCCTGAAATTAACAACTGAAATTTTCAAAACTAGTGAACCAGCAATTGAAGGTGCTAGTAATTAGCATGCGCGCGCTACGGGACCGCCACGTGGTTTCCCGCTATGCGCACATTTTTGAATTGCGCTTGCGATTCTTTATATATTAGATTCAATGAAAATCCGGTCCACCTGCAAATTTCTATTCGGCTTCAGCCACGTTCCAAAAAGTTCTCCTTCCAATCTTCTTTTTTTACGCATTCACGCTTTGATGTTCAACTGTCTTTCCCGCTAACATTTTACATTCGCCGCTTCCAGATGTCGGTGGAGTTAATGCGGGTAACCGCTCGTGTGCGCCCTTCAGCGTCCCGACGGCCACAAGAACGGGTAATAGAGATTATTGACGACAAAAACGTAAGGTGAGTATGGCAACCATCTAACCCATCCACTCAAGAGGAAGCATGACTTGGAAGCGCTCTTAAAAGAGTAGTACGACCAATTTGAATATGGATAAAGATTGCCTCAAATGTGAATCCTTCAAATCAGTACTTGAAAAATCGGTTCACAACTCAGCTACACACCATCATGGCTGACTACAACTACCTTCTCGACGGCGAGCCTACCCAAGACAACGCATTCTCTATTCTCATCAAAACTATCGAGGGAAGGACGAAACGACCACAGGCTTACTCCACTCTATACTCCATAGCCAGGAAACTCGCCTAACAGCAATCGAGAACGCTCTAAGTTCCCTCTTAGAACGATCAGCTGCTAAAAAGCTGTGCGTCTTCTGTATTCCGCAGGACAATACGGATAGCCATATGTCCGGTCGCTGCACTCGCTATACTCCCTTGACCCGAGGGATTCAGGCCACAAAGCTGGGTCTTTGTGAACGATGCCTGCCTTCACATCCTGAAGACTGTGGAGCACAATGCACCTTCTGCCAACTGCCCCATAATTCGTTGATGTGCCCTTCAAAAGCACAACTACTTCACAAACCCCACTTCAAGAAGAGGAAATACCATCATTCCCTCTACTGAATCTGCCAACTCCACTACTACTCTACTATCTACAACTCAACAATCTACTACTCTACTACCTACTATTCTAAATATTCCAACGCCCACTGCCAACCTACTACTGCCAACCGCTCCATCTGCCCACCATTAGCCGCTGCCAACCACCGAAAATCAACAACGACTTCGTCAACCTACAGCTCAATCAACGACAACCACCTCAACGTCAACGTCGATCCACAATCCACTACGCTCAAGGAGACGCAACGCCGTTTGATAGAACTTCATTATCATTTATTTATTTGTTGTTGTTATTATTGTTGTTGCTCCCCCCCGGGCCGGGTTCGGCCATTTGCTACGTATTGTGGCCGAACCGACCTATACATTAATCATCCCGCAGTAAAGCGGGCGGGTTCGGGGGTCATCGGGGCTCTTCTGTTGTAAGCTTCCTCAGTGTCACAATAAACGTTCATAGCGACGTGTTGTGTTATCTCCCAGTTATAAGTTGCCCTATAGTGGCACATAACATAATTCGAAATTCATTTTGTGATTTCGTATACTATTTACAGTTGGATATTTCACTCATATAACTATTCTCCTTAGCTAATCTTACTGTATTTCTCTCGCAGTCTGCTCTCTCTCGCTCGCAATCTCTCGCTGTTTTCAAGCGCCGATAATTTGAACTTCTTTGTTTCTGAGACTGTTTTCCATGCTCGCGCTAAGCTTTCAAGCACTTCCTCGTTGGGCCATGCAAAATCTCATTCAACTTGCGCTTGCGCTGATTTGAATCAGCTCTTTGTGTCTTTGTGAGTCAAGCTTGTTTCTTAGGGACTTTGTGCTCCGAATCGTATTTTCGCATTTTGCACTCAGTCGCGAGAAACTATTTGAATTCTTTCGTATTACGGTATCTCTTAATAACAAAAAACCTAGCGCGACTCTTGGGAAAGTAGAGATAACGGCTTTCCACAGTCAGATCATAAACATAGATAAGTCGTAGGGGAAATATCAAATAGCAAGCTAACATTTTCTCACATCCGGGGTAGATGCAAAACATAGATAATCGAGGCATAACACATGCCTAGCTTCATACGAAAGGTTTTCTCTAGCATGATGGTTGCTGTCTTTGATCAGAAACATAGATATCCCCCTAGGAAAATATCTTGGCGCTACCATATAACATTTGATAAGCAGCGCAACTATATATTAGGCTGGAAACTAAGTTTTGCAACTGGTTCCATAACTTCGCTCTTTTTGGATATGGCGCACTCAAACTTTGGCATTATATAGAAGGCTATGTGAGCTACAAGCGAGCGCAAATTGTTTAAATTTTGAACACGAAATAGAAAAGTTACAGGCGTTTTTCGAAGACTAACTTGACAATTTTTGGGGTTTCAAGCTAAAATGAAGCCTTTGGCAGCCTAGACCATGCGCAGCAATCCGGATTCGTCTATAAATTATTGCTGGAGGTTGACTCCTTTGGTCTATTAAGAAAGAAACAAAATTTAGGGGCATATCGAGATTTGGCGTCCTCATAAAATCGAACGAGTCGATGTACGCAAGAGCTGCTGGGGACGACCGTCAATGACTAAAGAGTCCAAAGCTCAAATTCCGCCGAGACTTTACACAGTAAGGTTATTTGACCTGCCAAACGCGAATATCACATCCATTCGTTGAATCAACGCCTTTTTCCTTGTTTAGGGTGAGACCCCATATCGTACACCTACAGTAATCCTACAAAAAAGCCCTTATCACGCAATTCACTATCGTTTTCGTGATCAGCATGTCGAATAACACCCCTATGCCAAGTTTCAGCCAAATCCGTCAACCTTTAAATTTTTCCCCTTCATACCATGCACCTACCGTAACCCTCACCATGACGTCAAAATTTGGCAGGACAGCAGCTGCACTTGTAGCTTACGTAATAGCCAACACAGTGGTAAAATTTAAGTGCGCCATGTTGAGTGAGAGGGAAGTTATGAGACCAGTTGCAAAACTTAGTTTCCAACCTAATAATAGGTCATCAGACTTAGTTAGTTGGCTTCATACTGACGAAGAATTCGCAGTTCGCTCTCGCATCTTTCTTCAAGGTTTGAGCTTCCAACTTCTACTTCTGTCTCTTAACTTCCCTGACATTGGGCTTATCTCGTTTTAGCTTTCATGATACCAACTACTTGCTCAAAGGGGCAGGTGGAGCAGCCCGCGTCGGATACCTCGAGCCCACCTGGGGCGCTTGAGGCTATCACGGCGCCTTTGACGCTGGCGACCCTTGAGGACTCCGCCGTGGTTCCTGGACGCGACGCCAAGGAATTGAAGAGTGCCACGACAGATGCTTTGGTCAACGCCTGGCGGGACGTTAAGAAGACTACCGCACAGCTGGCGGAGAAGCTGAACCAAGGTAATTCAGATCTCTTAGAGGGGATTAACCAGTCTTTTGCGGTAGTGGGTTCTCGTATGGAACAATTCCCACTGGTTGCAACTTGCTGCCCTGATGGGCTCTCGTCCAGAATCGTCCCATTTTCGGGCACTTCTAACTCACAATCGTTTTCATTGTGGTTGCGCCGCCTAGAGGACTCAATGCGCTTACGCAAAATTGTTACAGCAGAGGATAGGGCTAACTATCTAGTTGCGCATTTAGAGTCTGTTGCCAGGGAACGCGATGAAACTCTATCCGCGGAGGACAAACTCGACTATGGCGCAATCGTGGCCCTATTGCGCAAGCACTACGAAGGGCCCAAGCAAATGGCGGATGCCAGACAAGAGTTGTCGTCGTGCAGACAGGCTGCGGGTGTGTCCATCTCTGCTTTTGCTCTTCGCCTTCTTAACTTACTACGCACTGCAACAGGTAAGGATCCTTCTCTTAATGATGAATTGTTTCTTCACGAATTTTTGCAACTTTTGAATTCTGACTTACGTTTTCATGTTAAGTATGCTAACCCGTCATCTTTTGAGGAAGCAGTGGCCGAAGCCGAACGAGTCGAGAACCTATTGGCTGAAGCTTCTAGGGATCGACTTATTCACCCGTCGCAGGTGTCTCAACCGGTGACCGTGAGCTCCATTAAGCCTTTCACCCGTTCTTCATTTGATAATTCCACTGTTAACCATAGCCAGCGTCCTTCCAACCCCCTTCGCTCTAGAAGCCCTTACAGCAGGGAAAGTTACCCAGGTAGAGGAAGACCAAATGCTAATCGTGTGCGATTTCAGGAACCAATGGAACGAAGACCTCAGGACAACATGGCGAATGGTATTTTCTGCTATAGCTGTGGCGGCCGAGGGCACACAATTCCCGAATGCGCATCAAGGAGACGACAACGTCAGCAAACAGGTAGGTTCACATCACGTTTTCTAAGATCGCGCAGCCCTAGACTTACTTTTCGTTCTCGTCCTCCAACTTTTAACCGTAGAGCTTCTCCTAATTTGCTTAATATTTCGCCTCATTCTAACAGTGAACTAGAAGAAGCGCGTAAACAAATTGAATCTCTGTCTCTATCCTTGAAACAAAATCAGGCAGCTCTCGAAAGTTCTAACGCTCGCATTTCGGCACTTGTGCAACGAAACGAAGAGCTTGCCCACTCAGCTTTTGGTCACTGTTCTACATCGTCTTCTACATCTACCCTTCCTAAAGTTAATGCTTTGTTTTTCACTTCTGTTGTTACGTCTTGTTGCTTCCTCTCTACTTACTCTCAGCCTGTGTGGCTGTGCCCACACGATAATCTGTCTTGAAAGATTCCCCTGCCGGACGCATAGCCCCAAATTCGCATTTATGGTGCTGTTTCATCTGCCTACAATGTTCTACTGTAACTGTCTTATAGGTTTCTGTATGTGTTTGATGGCGCGCCCCAAAAAAGTTAACGGAATAAGTTACCGACTGCTCAACTATTCTACATAAAGTAGCTGGAGTGTCATAGCGCTTAGAATTAGGTCGGTAAACATGAAGAGTAGCACGAACAGGGGGATTAGTTATATTAGGAATTAGATAGGAGCAGTTATATGTGAGAGGGATATGACTAAGTGGATCAGATTTATCGTGCGGGCACAGCCACACAGGCTGAGAGTAAGTAGAGAGGAAGCAACAAGACATAACAACAGAAGCGAAAAACAAAGCATTAACTTTAGGAAGGGTAGATGTAGAAGACGATGTAGAACAGTGACCAAAAGCTGAGTGGGCAAGCTCTTCGTTTCGTTGCACAAGTGCCGAAATGCGAGCGTTAGAATTTTCGAGAGCTGCCTGATTTTGTTTCAAGGATAGAGACAGAGATTCAATTTGTTTACGCGCTTCTTCTAGTTCACTGTTCGTGATACTTTTATTTCGATGAAGAACAAGACTTTACGAATTATGGAGCAAGAACATTCCTTGGATAACTTTGATCTCCTAGGTCTCCCACCCCTTGGTAAGTTTGTACTTCGGAATTTTGTGGATTGCAACTTACTGAAACTATCTTAGGCGATCTCTCACAACTGAACGAAGACGCTATAGAAATGCTTGAAAAGCGATTGAATGATCTCCGAGAGATTTATCATAACTCCAGAGCTGAACTTCTTATGATGGAAAGGAAAAGGCGGAAAAAGGCCGAGAAGAGGAGTAAGTATCGTTTTTGATGCGCTTAAATTTCCTCCACAAAAGTATATTTGCAGAAGAACGAGAAAGAGCACTCCGCGAAGCTTCAGCCATGGAGAAGCCACAATGATATCTGCGTTCCTAAAAGTATTGTTGTAGATAGATGTAATCCACTGTTTGTAGTAATATTTATCTTAGCTTGGAAAATAATAAATAATAATATTTATTCTTGTACAAATGCAAACTCAGATATTTCATAGGACTGTTCCACTCTACCACAAGTCACTCACAGATCCATTTACTTATCTAATTTACACACAAAAATGCATCAAAAAGAATAAGTTCAAAGATCAACGAAAGGTATCGAACTAGATTCGTTGGAGTTGGCAGGTCCGTTCCTCTTTTTGGAAAATGGAAAAATTCCTGCCGAGGTCTTGTTTCGTGGAGATGATTTCAAGGCACCGAAGAGGCTATATTTTGTGGGATTTCGCATGATGTAGCGCACATCATCTCACATGGCAAGAGATCGAAGCACTAGGTGTACGGCATACAATGGGGTGAAAGCTACGAAAAATACTCTATTATTAGGTTGTAAAGAAAGTTTCCGGGCACTTGCGAAAATTTTTTTCAAATCGCTGTAACTTCAAGCAGATTGATCCTTTTTCAGAGCTACAAATTTCATTGCAAAGAGAATTTTGTCCACAACATATATTTGTCTTGCTGGCTTTTCAGCACCTCAATGCGGTCCACCAGCATGCGCAGAAGGGAAAAAAGGTCCTCGCAAGTAGCCTATTGTGCAGGATTATCTCAGGCAGGATGAGATCTGGAAAGCCCAAATGCTGTAGTCATATAAAGGTCTGCTGGAGCTGTTAAGGGGACCATTCATGTTTTTGCAGGACCACCTGCAAAAATTTTTTTCAGAAAGTTCGAAAAATAGACCACTTTTTGCCCCTAAAAATGCACCATTTTTTGAGTAAGTGACTTTGAAGTCCTGTCGTTCTGCATAGGGTGGACCAAATCTTTGATTACTGCGAACATTGTTGGGGTAATGCCTTACACATCTTTTGGACCCATCATCCAGGCGTGGCGATTCCCGCAGAAGCGACGCCAGCTGCGAAAAGAGTTGTAGTCAGAAGCAAGTTTGACAGGTTGTAATTTCTGAGCGCAAATCGCAAGACTCGAGTGCAGTTGCGGATCAGAAGTTAATAGGCTTCTCAATCAGATCACCCATGATTTGGACGAAAGTCTGTGAATTGCACAAAAAAATGGCTGTAGGAAGAAAAATTGTGGAATTTTTGTGGTTGGGAAGATTTTACTTTTTGATGTGCAAATCAAACACGTCTTGGCATCGATAAAAATCAGAAGCCGTATTGAAAACTTTAGGCTTCCCTTTAATGAACAGTATAAAAAACTTGGTGTCAAAGTCCGACCGAGCACTGAAAAATGGGGACCAGAAGACTAAGGGCCGCATGCACTAACCTCCCTGCTGGGGAGGGGATCGCAGCTTAAAAGAAACTTTATATTTCGAAACTCCAGATAGACTTCAAATTGTGTACATATCCGTAAGTATTCCTACTACCCTTCACTATGAACATGTTGAACAGGAGCGAGAAGCTGTACGAACCGCATTTTCCAGCTTTAGTATGATCCTTGATGATCCCCGGCGCTTTTCTTTAAAGTCATTTTTCTTTCTCCGAAGTTAACGAAAACCTTCCAAAGTTGTACTGAACATCTAACACAACAGTGCTAAGCATGTTGCTGATGAGAACAAATGAGTTTTTGAAAAGTCGAATTTTTCGGTAAACCTCAATCTTCGACCTGTGGATCATCGAAAATTTCATGACTTCAAAACATCATTCGTTCTTATCAGCAACATGCTTAGCACTGTCGGTTTAGATAATCTGCACAACTTTGGAGGTTTTTCGTTAACTTCGGAGAAAGAAAAATGACTCTAAAGAAAAGCGCCGGGGATCATCAGGGATCATACTAAAGCTGGAAAATGCGGTTCGTACAACTTCTCGCTCCTCTTCAACATGTCCATAGTGAAGGGTAGTAGGAATACTTACGGATAGGTACACAACGTGAAATCCAGGTGTCTGGAGTTTCGAAATATAAAGCTTTCTTCTAATCGTAAGCTGCGATCTCCTCCCCGCGGGGATGTTAGTGCATGCGGCCCTAAGTCACTGAACCCTTTTGCTTGAGACTACGCCATCTAAAGGCTATAAGGTATGCGAAGAACCCATCTGATGTTCTTAACGTGCATATGTCGCCTGTGTTCTTCTGATGAGGGGTACTGCTTCGCTTTCTCATCGTCTCCCATTCGGTCACAAAAGGGACATTCTTTATCCATACTGCACAAAATATGACTAGCTGTCGCTTGTTCGGGACATGCTCCAGCGCTTTGCGAGTTGTCCGTGCAGTAAGTGGCTTTAGTACCTGGTCATGTCTCAGCTGCGTAACAGAGCCTTGCAGAATGAGTCAAAAGGTGGGTTTACAGCTCCGAAGTCCGTCAGCTAGTCGATGGCTTTTTTCACTTGTCCAAAGGCGTACCAGACTTTTTTTCCCGTTGAGTTCCTCCCTCAAATTGTTCTCCAGGTTCATCGAACGTTTAAGGTACAGGTAAGAAATCTCCTTGATGAGGATGCTTTCCAATTCTCTGCATCTTCGCAAAGAGCTCAGTAGACTGAGTCTTCTTTAGTCTACACCGCAATCCAATCGTTTTCCCTACTTCGTTTAGTTTCTTCAGTATCGTCTCCGCTTCAGTGGTACTGCTCGAAAGGCATGCGATGTCGTCCGCAAAACGAAGGTTGGAGAGGAATCTTCTATCAATCCGTATGTCTCTCTCGTCTTAGTCCAGTGACTTCAACACCCACTGCAAGGCCGCGTGAACAGCTTAGGCGAAGTTGTGTCGCTTTCCCGAACCCATTTGCCGACTGGGACGGGCAGGGTCGGGGAATTAGCTACATCATCCGTACAATGCTTGTAGCAAGAGGCCATTTTCGTCATGTAAACTGTGTCATCCGTGATCGACCAGCTCTGACAAGATGGCGTTGTTTTCGACGTTATCAAAGGCTTTACCGTAATCGACCAAGGTTGGGACGAGAAGAGTAAGCGTAGCGACAGTGGAGGCGAGCTTCTGGCTGGCAAGAACAGATCACCGATCAGTACTAAGTAGTTTATCGTTAAGGCATCAATGTAGACAGAGGACAGTATATGAATAGTCGACAATAGGAGATCATCGGTGGAGTGGTTGAGCATGGAGATTGGATAAAGCACTGGATCGGTCCAGCATCAGCCAGAGTCGTGGAGGGGTACGGTAGAACGGCCGGTCGGTGTCGGGGCGAAGGAGCAACTCCTCGAGCCTTCGTATCGTCGGTCACGCCCTAAACAATCACGTCTTCTGGCATTCCATCGAAGATGCAAACGGAGATGCAAAAGCATTTCCCTTACACCTCCCTTATTTACCAACAAGTCCGTCCTTGGACTTCTAATTAAGAAAAAGTATGCAAAGCAAAGTATATGAAAAGAAGTATATAAGGATGTATATAAAGAAGTGTATAAATAAAGGTATGTAGTATATCATAAAATATAAAGAGATAATGTCTATGAATATAAAGAAAACAACTAAATATATATATATATATATAATGAAAGTATGTATAAAGAGAACTGGTTATGAAAATCCCACCGTTGTGCAGGAGGTAGATACTGGTCCAGTTGAGCGGCAGGTACTACGGCGTGGCGTTCCTCGGCCCAGGCCAACACTCGATTCCAGAAGTTGATGCGACGAAGTGAATCAGTATGGCCCAGCACGAACAAACCTTGGCGGGAACGGGTGAGCGCAACATTCATGCGTTTTTGGTCATCTAGGAACTCGCCAGAAGTAGGCTCAAAATCAGTTTGGGTGGTGAGGAGAATAACGATGTCCTTCTCTCGGCCTTGATGGAATCAACAGTGGCGAGCTCGACTTGGTTCTCTCGTGCAAAGTCCGCCAACCGGCGCATCTATTCCTTATAGAACGTCAAAATACTGATGGCAGCGGGAGACACATGACGTTGGAGAAGGCGAGTGACGATGGTTCTACAGACTTCGGCCTCAGCTTCGTTAAAGTAGGAGCGACTAGGTGCTCGTGCCGAGTTTCCGGCGACGCTCAGGAACAAAAACGGAGTAACCCCATCAGGGACTTGGTAAGATGGTACAAACAACCATTTGCGCGTTGGTGGCAATCTTCAGCTAACCGAAGCCACTGAGCCTTATCTGTTTCCGAGACATTTTCAGGAAATTGCCCTGTTTCCAGGAAAGACATGATAGGGCTACAGACTGGGTTGCGCTTTTGTTCTAGTAAGGCATCGTAATGCTTAATCGCAATTGGAGTAACGAGGGAGGAATTAGTTGGTGGGAGAGAGCGCAAACAATATCCTTGTACCGCTAGACACATAGGAAACTCTACTATGTCTTCGGACTCTGGAGGTTATCCTGAAACTGAGTCTGAGAGTTGACTGATCGTGAAAGGCAATCGGCCACAACATTTGATGATCCCTTCAAATATTCTATGGTTTATGTTATAACTTTGCAACTCGATTACCCATCGCGCTAAATTATCATGGGTCTTATTATGTCTGTGAAGATACGTCAATGGGCGGTGATTGGCGGTTGTGATCAGAGAAAATACGGGTCAGATGCCCGTAAATAGTGGCCTTGAAGAAACGAAGAGCGCTTACCATTGCAAAAAGTTCTATATGAGTGAGACTCCACTTTTGTTGGGACTGGGATAGAGCTTTACTGTAATAGCCTATGAACAGGGACTTCTCATCGCTGGCTGCTTGCTGGAATAACGCGGCGCCTATAGCAACTTGGCTGCCATTCGTGTGAAGGATAAAATCACGTTCTTGAGGGAACGCCAAACATGGCTTGGTTATGAGTTTATTCCGTAGTTCGTCAAAGGCTTGTTGCTGGCGCGGACCCCATTTGAATTTTGCTTTATCTTGGTTAGTTCGTACAGGGGTGCTGCTATGGCGGCGAAATTTTGTATAAACTTTCGAAAGAAATTAACCATTCCCAAAAAACGTTTGACTTCTTTTACTGTAGAAGGGGTCGGAAGGCGCTTGACCGCTTGGATGTTCCTATCGC